TGACGCCTTTTATGTTTCAGTCCAGGATTACAGAGACCGAGAAAACTGGACTAGCATGTATGCATCCCCCACCCAGCAGATACTACAGGTTTTCTTTGAAATTTATGCACTGAGATGTTTGCCAAAATCCTGCTCGAGTATTAGAACTTGGAACCCTCCCAAAGTGCCCAGAGCAGTATTTTGTTCTAGCCCATTTGGTGGCATGGCATTACTGCAATAATGCGTCACTGGAGTGCCCGACAGATTTCCTTGTCACCGCAGAGGAACTGCTTCCCAGAATCTCCCTTTGTGTCCCCTCTGCTGTGAAGTGGAGGGCTTGCGGCTTCATGCGCAGCTGTGACATTTTAAAACCTCTTTCCAAAGGGTGGCTGTTGCCTTGAGAACTATGTCCTGTTCAGTGTGAAAGAGCCTTTTATATTTTATATAATCATTTCTTTGGCAGAAGTATATTAAAAGAAACTGACCTCACAGCTTGTCTTTTTTAAATGGTTTGGCTGCTGTTTTTTCTTTCCTCCCATGTCAGCTGCCTAAAAATTAAACAAGCATTTTATAGAAACTATAGTTTGATAGATAGGAGGTCTGGGTTGTCATAATCTTGATTATAATCAACAGGCATTTATTAAGTACTTGTCATGAACAAGGCACTCTGGTTCGTATGAATATAGAGAATGCAGGCCTAGAGAGCTCTGGGTATGAATCCTAGTTCCACCACTTCCTGTGAGACATTGCGTGAGTTACTTAACTCTGTGAGTCACAGAACGGAATGCATATTCTTTAATCCTAGCGTGACAGTAAATGAAATGATCTGCATAGTACTTGGCACAAAGTAGGCCCTGCTATGTTATGTTACGTGATCTTAGTATTGTTCCAGTCTCATGATGAGGAGTGATGATAGCTGACACTTAAATAGCACTATTAATGTACCAGACACTGTTCTAACTGCTTTACAACTGTTAACTCATTGAGTCCTCACAGGCCTCTGAGGTGGGACTCAGCCAGGGCCAGACCGAGGTAATCTGGCCCCAGTCCATGCCCTTCATCATCACGCTATATTGCTTCTGATCTCTACCCTGCCTTTACACAACATGGCCTGAAGTTACCAATCTGATTTTTCAGGGGGAAATGTGTAAAATAGTCTTTCTATGTGAGATAAGTTACCCAGTGTTTGGGCAAGAGTTAGAGAGAAATTGATCTTTGGAACAGGGAGTTTTCCCTTTGGGTTTAGATCTTGAGTCTCGCCTACAGTTTAACCATCTACCTCCCCCAAAGTCAAGACCCCTCAGTTGTTTGCTAAGTTCAGAAGTAGGTTTCCAAGTTGTACTTTAGCTTTTATGGAAGAGCAGAGTCCCCAAAGCAGATGATAGTCAACATTTTAGTTACTAACAAGGCTGGGAACACACAGGAATATTTTTAAGGACAGGCAGGAGGTAGTTTTCCTGGATGGATGGGAAGATAAGGCGATTCTGTCCTCACAAGGACCTGGGATACAGCCATAGCATGGGATATTTAGTATGTGTGGGTTTCATTAAAATAAATTATTTCAGATCATTTTCATTTTGAATTCATAGAAACCAGAAGTTAAGTGATTCAGAACCCAAATGAATCCACAAATCTATAAAAATCTATACTTATGCTATAAACTATGGCCTCTTTATAATTGGCCAGTAATTTATAGTTTGCAAGAAAAAGGAAGGTTCAAAATACACAGGCTTTAGAGTCAAAGATCCTTGGGTTTCATTTTTCTGTTTCTACTTCCGACCTTTGTGATCTTGGGCAGGTTACTTCATCCTGCCAACCTTCTGGGAACCAGTCTGGCAAAGGGGTATAATAATATCTACTTGCTAGAGTTGCTGCGAGGATTTGGTAAGGTAACATATATAGAGTGCTTGGCATGTATGGTCATTCAGTACATGAGAGTCATCATCATACTAAGCTTCAAGGGGAAAGTCCTAATGCTACTTTCCAGAAACAAACTATTTCAATAGAAATATCTGCAACACCCAAGAAACAAGAAAGTAAATGTTGAATGATGGCATTTATGGCTTTGAGAGTGGTGCAGGCACTTGTGTTTAGGGATACAGGACCCTTCTTAGTACTCCCTACCTACCCTGGTTTCCCTCATCCATGTTTCCCAGGCAGCTGCAGTGCCTAGAAGGAGAAAGTCTACAAAGAGACCAGCCTGAAGTCTACCCTAATGCAGACACATGTTGGCTCCCAGCAATCAGGAGAGGGGCGGCTTACTTTAATCCAGCTGTCAGGTAGACAGCTCGAGAAGCCCAACGCCCTGTACACTGCCCTCAAAGTCACAGGAAGCATGCTAGGTTGCAGGGTTACTTAAGATGAAAATATCGATCTACATAAACTGGTAATGTCTAATTTGGATTAAATTTTGCATATAAAAGACCCATTGCAGATGCCATGATGTGTGATAATTATAGTATCCTCAGAAAAATGGCATAGTAAGAAATCAGAGGGCTTATAAGTGTATACGATGTTTAATTATAAAGGTAGCCTTTATTTAGTATAAGAAATGTGAAAAATACGAAATAACACCAAAGAGAAAGAAAAGCACTCATTTCCCCGCTATGACCACTACTCACATTTTGGAAATAACATTTCAGTATTTTTCCCCCTGTGACTTTACATATATTTTTCATAATCGCAATCTTTCTGCACATATTGTTATAATTTTCTGTTTCATAAAGTAACATTATAAACATCTGTATATATAAAAGCCCAGCGACCCTTACAGTGGAACGACTGGTCGCTATGACATGCACTGACCACCAGGGGGCAGACACTCAATGCAAGGGCTGCCCCCTGGTGGTCAGTGCGCTCCCACAGCGGAGCATCACTCAACCAGAAGCTGGGCTCACGGCTGGAGCCTTTCCTGCCTCCAGGCAGCGCTAAGGAGCGGCAAGCCAAACAGTAAGGAGCTGGCAGGCGGCAGTTAGGAGCGCGGAATCCCAGGTTGCGAGAGGGATGTCCAACTGCTGGTTTAGGGCTTAAACCGGCAGTTGGACATCCCCTGAGGGGTCCCGGATTGCAAGAGGGCACAGGCCAGGCTGGAGGACACCCCCTTCTCCCCCCTGTACACGAATTTTGTGTATCGGGCCTCTAGTGTTTGATAAGATTAAATATTTTTGCAACGTTACCTTTAATATCTTCACAGTACTTCACAGGATTTTGTTTAACCAGGTATTTCACAGTATTTTATTACATCTAGGTTATTCCCTATCATGAAAAAATGATTTATTATAGCTAAACTTTGTACCCAGATATCACTGTAAATTCATAGAAGTGGATGTCAGTGCCTCACACACAGTGTTGCTGGGAGTTATTGGGGATGTGAGCTCATATAACAGGCCAGTGTCTTGGAAAGCAGCTTCGGGGGTGAGGATGCCCCAGCTGTGAACGTGGCTGTTAGGGAGCGGGGAGCAGAGGGTCCATAGGAGTCTCTCACCAGCTAGGTTTTCTTAAAGTTCAGCTGGGCATGATTTTCTATAATTACTTCCACCATGAATGTGAAGGCTGCAGTGACCAGCAGGAAGTGTGCCTGGTGATTGACAAATGTTATCACAGTTGGGTGACAGATACCAAGAATTACCTGTATTCCCATACCTTTATTTAATCTTTTTGAAATTAAATTGAGCTATGTGTAATGTTGAAATGGGTACATTCTTGACCTGAATATAGGGTATGAGAGTTTATAAGAATGGTGTAGACTTCCGAGCATGTACTTGCTTAAATACACAGTTATATGTGTTTGAGCATTGTTTACTTTAAACAATTTAAAAGCTGTTAAGAATTGTAAAAAAAAAAAAAAAAGGACTGAATGTATGTAAGAACTCTGAGAACTGACAGAGTGTTGATGAAATTAAGTTAGAGAGCAGTTCAGATATACCGTGAAACTACGTGCTGCAATGAGCATAGGATATGGGAGAGGAGCATGGCTGAGATGACTCAGATGCTCCGCCTGAGAAAGGAGGAGGCTGGCTAAGTGACAGCAGCGGAAGAACAGCCTAAAAAGATGTGTTCTGCCTGGGAGGCCTCTGCTGCTCCCTCCGATCTCTCACCTCTCCTGTTCTGACCAAACACGCCTTTCGTGGCCAAAACAGTAAGAGTTCTTACGCCTCTAATCTTTTCAGTAACCATTCGCAACAGGAGCAGTCTTTTGACTCTGATCATTGGACCCGTTAGGTGTTATCTGAGAAGAGCAAGATTGTCATTTGGCTTGACAAAGAAATACATGAGTAAATGTATAAAACACCCCAGTGTTTTATTAAGATCTGCCAGAACCCCCTGTGTGACAGGCATAGCTAGGATTCCAGGTTTCTAGGATTATTAAACCTTTATCTTTGTGTTTTCACAAATGTTTCAACAAAAAACATGAATCAGCATCCATTGTCCTTCTATTACCGTAACCCAGAAACTTGAGTTTTATGTGTGTTTTCAAAAAAGGAATTTTTTGGGCTGTTATCATATTAGAGTTCTAAACATAACTTATTCCTGCTTATAATTGATTATAATCATTCTTATTTAATGATTATTAATAAGTACTTTTTTGTAGGAATGAGTATTTTTCCTTACTTAGAGTACTTACTTCCTTAGAATGTATCATCTCTATTGTTCATAATAAGCCTTCAAGGTGATAAGCACTCCTTATCAGGAAACAGGCTCACAAAAAGGTAGGTTACCTCTCACATCTGAGAAGCCATGTAGCTATGTTGTGATTCCAGGTCAGTCTGACTCAAAAGCCATCTACCTCTCACCTTGGGGAGAACTGAGTGAAAACAGACCCAATAATAGAACAGACACGTGTGTGAAACCTTGTGCGAAAAATACCCAAACTCTTTCCATCTTGGACAGCTAGACCCTCAAGACTGACGCCAGCGTTTTCCTAATGCTTTAACAGCTTTTTGCCAGTATGCGGTGTTTTTTCAATGTTAAATACACTGTTTCAGACTTCCTCCCCTCCTCCTGCCCCTTTGATCTTCCAGGCCCTCAGTACCGCCTGGAGAAGCAGAGTGAGCCCAATGTCGCCGTGGACCTGGAGAGCACTTTGGAGAGCCAGAGCGTGTGGGAGTTCTGCCTGGTCCGCGAGAACAGTACGTTGGCCTCCTCGCTCCGTGCTTGTTTTGTCCGTTGCAAACATGCTTAGGAGTCATGTGTTGGGGTCACTAGCCCGGTTTACCGAGGCCCGTGCTCGGCAAACCGTGGCTTGCGAGCCACATGTGGCTCGTTGGTCCCTTGAGTGTGGCTCTTCCACAAAATACCATGTGGGGGCGCGCATGTACAGTGTGATTGGAACTTGGTGGCCCATGCGCAGAAGTCGGTATTTTGTGGAGGAGCCGCATGTGGCTCGCGAGCAGTTTGCCGAGCCGCAGTTTGCCGACCACTGCCCTAGGCAGATTTCAAGTAACTGGTTTTCAAGGCAGACCTCAGCCTTCCTGCCGAAAGTGTATCCCAAAATGAAATGATTGATTTCATGCCTTTTTTTTTTTTTTTTCGGTAAAAAGTCTGCATCCTGTTTAGCCCTCTGTGATTTATATATTTTTTATTAGACTGTATCTTCCTAAATTAGGATCAGTCCTGGAAAACAGCTTAGAAATAGGAGGCCTTTTCTGAGGCGAAGGCTATTTTGTATGTAAGCAACTGGCCCTGTCACTATCACTGTTTAGAGACATCAGGGTTAGAAAATCCTGACCGTTTGCATACTTTTAGCCGGAGGCAGTGTGGTGGTTCCTGGTGCTATCTCGTGAGCCTCTTTAAAACTGCAGTTAGTCTCCTTTCATTCTCCCTTCTGAGCTTCTGAGTTGTGAATCTTTGCCATTCCTCTCCTCTGTGCTTCCACTGACTTCAGGAGCAAGTGACATGTGGAAGTGGAAATTGTGTAGCCAGCTCTCCTTCGTTCCTGCTTCAGGGCCTTTACACAGGCCGTTTCCTCTGTGCGGAGCACTCTTCCCCAACTCTGGCTGTTTGTCATCCTTCGCCTCAGTTTAAATGTCACATTTTCAAAGAGGCCATCTGTGGTCTTCTTTCCCCCCTCATTTGGGTCCCCCATTATACACAGAACATACTTTTTATTCGTTACATATATGTTTCTGTTTATAATAATATATTTCCCTCAATTATCTTTCTCCCATAAGATTTTCCAGGTCTATGAGGGCATCCCTGATCCATACCAAGTTGCCCTTCATTAATTTAACCAGTATTTACCTCTCACTATAGGCTATGTACTATAGAAGCTTAGTAAATATATAGGGTCAGGCAAAGTAGGTTTATGGTTGTGAGTACGTGAAACAGTTTATTCTTGTGTTATTTATAAATTATTGTATTATTTTCCATACGAATAACTGTAAACCTACTTTTGCCCCACCCTGTAGATTGAATGAGTGAATCAATGGCAGTTTTTTTGTCATGTCACTGACCCTTTACACAAGGCTGCTGCTCTTTAACCAGGGCCCTGACTGCCTCTTCTAGGGAGGCATGTGCAAAACTCACCAGGGAAGTGAAGTGGGCTCAGTGTGTACCCAACATTTCTGCTTTTGGAAATCTGTGTCTTGAGAAAAATATTTTAAATGCAATAAAGATATATGTATAATGATAGGTGTTAGATGTTTATAATATTTCTATATATATATATATATAGTATCTATATAGTACCCCTATATGGGAAAATTATGCAGGGCATCACCTTTTGGTAAAGCAAAACGTAATAATTAAAACTGATTAAAATATACAAATCATAGAAAATTATTAATGGCTGGTATCTGGGAGAAGATTGAACTAAAAGAGGCAAGATTAACACCTAGAACCAATTTTTCCTGATATCATTTGAATTTGAAGGTTGCAATATTTAAAGAAAATTTTGCAGCTTTTTAATTCATATATTATAAAAGAAGAAAGGCCAAAAATCAATAAGCTAAAGCATTTAGCTCAAGAAATTAGAAAACAAACAGGAAAAGAAAACTAGAGAGAATAAAAGGAAGGAAGCAGTAAAGATAAGAGCAGAAATTAATGAAATAGGAAATTTAAGGACAACAAAACCAAACATTGGTTCTTTGAAAAGACTAACAAACTTGCTAAACCTTTGAGGAAATGGATCAGAAACATGGAAGAGTAACAAATAACAGAGAAACACAAATAGTAACAGAAATAAAAAGAGGTACAGTACAGATCTGCAGTCACTAAATAGATAATACAAGATTATTTTGAAAAACTTCATACCAAAAATTGTGAAAATGTAGATGAAAAAGGAAAAAATCCTAGAAAAGAAACAACTTACCAAAATTGACACAAGAAGAAATAGAAACTTGAATATTCTCATAACTATTTTTTTAATATATTTTATTGATTTTTTACAGAGAGGAAGGGAGAGGGATAGAGAGTTAGAAACATCGATGAGAGAGAAACATCAATCAGCTGCCTCCTGCACACTCCCCACCAGGGATGTGGCCGCAACCAAGGTACATGCCCTTGACCGGAATCGAACCTGGGACCTCTCAGTCCACAGGCCGATGCTCTATCCACTGAGCCAAACCGGTTAGGGCCTCATAACTATTTTTAAAAATTGAGTTCATGATTAAAAACCTTGCCTCAAAGAAAACTCAATCCCAGACAACTTTACTGGCTAGTTTTACCAAATACTTAAGGGAAAAACGATTCCAGTCTTACATCAGCTGTTCAAAAGAGTAGAAAAAGAGAGTACACTCTCCAATTCATTTTACGAGGCTGTCATAATCTTACCAAACCCTAATAAAGACCATACAAGACAAAATATTTTCAGACCAGTCTTAAATAAATGCAAATATTCTAAACAAAATATTAACAAACTGAATTCAGCATTATATTAAAATAATGTAACATTCTCAAGTTGGTTTCATTCTAGGAGTACAGGTTTAGTTTAGCAATAAAAAACCCCAGTCGGTATAATTTGCCACAGTAACAGATTAAAAGGAAAACAGCCATCTCAGGAGATGTGGAATACTGTTCAGTCATTATAAGTTGTGTTTACCAAGAGTTTTCATTATGAGAAAAATAACTTTGATGTAATATTAAGAGGGAAAATTGTCAAGGATACAAAATAACACAGCTAGATTAATCTCAACTGTATAAAATCAAAACAAACAAACCAAAAACATGGAAGGAAAATGCCAAAATATTAATAGTGGTTATCTCTGGTTAGCAAGATTCTGGGTAATTCATTTTTCTTCCTCTTTATACTTATACTTTCCAGAGATTCTAAAATAAGCATGCATGACTTTCTAAGAAGAAAAAGCAAGCAAGTAATAAGGGCAAGTTCACACAGATACCGATTACATCACGAGAGTGCCTCTTAGTTTCATAATCCTTTGGACTGATCACACCCAAGGAAGAATTATAACAATACATTCCTTTGTATCTTGCTTATCTGATTTTCTTACCTGATATAAATGGGTAATCCCTCCCTTCTTGTCATTTTCTTTCATTCTTTAAAGAATCTCTCTTTCCAAAAAAAAATTCTCTCTCTTTTTCCCACTCACCCAAAGATATGGTGGTTTTTTTAAATTGGTTTTTAGAGAGAGAGGAAGGGGGAGGGAAAAAGAGAGAGAGAAACATCAGTGTGGGAGAAAAACAGCTAGCCTCCCATACATGCCGAAGTGGGAGATCAAACCCACAACCTTTTGGTCTATGGGACAGCGCTCTAACCAACTGAGCCACCCAACCAGGGCTAAAGAATCTCATCTTTTAAACATAGTAGGGGAACTAATTCACATAATAGGAACTCTGTAGTGGATTCTCTTTCAGAATGTTGACTCCTTGTTATATGAATAAGATAAAATTTATTTATTAGTGTCTTGGCAAATATTTTGGATATGTAACACTGATTCATGTAAAAGAATTTTCCAGATAACAAAGTGTGTCTGTGGTGAAAACTCAGCCTCTCTCCTCACTCCTAACTCCCTTCCCAGAGACAAGTTGTTCCCAGTTTCTTTGATAACTTTCCAGGGATTATCTGTGTATATGCAAGTATATTCTGTATATGTACGTGAATACACACACACACACATATATACAGTTGGCCCTCTGGATCCACAGGTTTAGCCTCTGCAGATTTAATTGAAAATATTCTTGCCTGGCCTAAGTGGCTCAGTTGGTTGAGCATTATCCCATGAACCAAAAGATTACTGGTTCAGTTCCTGGTCAGGGCACATGCCTGGGTTAAAGGCTCCATCTCCAGTAGGGGCTGTGCAGGAGGCAGCCAATTGATGTTTCTCTTACTACCTCTCCTTTCCTCTCTCTATAAAAATCAATAAAAACATATTTTTAAAAAGAAAATATTTTGAAAAAATGTTATGTTATTGCTGACATTTACTATGTAATTAGGTCTACAATGGTTGTACCTGTACTGAAACAAACTTGTTCTAGTCATTATTCCCTAAACAATATAGTATAAATATTTACATAGCATTTATATTGTATTGGGTATTATAAGTAATCTGGAGATGATTTAAAGTTTATGGCAAGGATGTGCAAAGGTTATATGCAAATGCTACACCATTTTATGTAAGGGACTTTAGCATCCAAAATTTTGGTTTCCACCGGGAGTCCTGAAGCCAATCCCACACAGATACCAAAAGACAACAAGAACGTATACACACACATTTGTATTCCTCTCTTTTAAAAAAACAAATGACAGCTGACTTTCATCAGTGTTCTCCATTTTTATTTTATCATTTTGACAAATATTGTAGAGTTTATTCCACATTAATCTGCATATTATTTCACCTCTTTCTTTTTTTAGCTGTTGCATAGTATTCCACAGTATACTGTGACTCCAAATTAGTTTTTCTTTGTTGTTTCTTTGTTTTTAAGATGAGGCCCAACTTTCTTATACGAGGAAAGAGAAGCTGTGAGAATTGATGGATAAAGCTTTGACATCTGGGCTCTTGTTCTTACTGCACTTCTAACATGAGCTTAGTTTTAAGTAACTTGTGTGACATCTGTGAGCTTTGGCATTGCCATCCTAAAGGATTGGCAAGAAATTCCAGTTCTTACACTCTGAGTTAAGATTATTGTGGTAGTGAAAAAAGACTTTACCAGCATTTAAAAGGGCATGAGGCAG